ACTCGGGAACAGCCCTGGCCACACACACCTTTACTTTCTAGTTATGGACCAAGAGATCCTGCCCTGGGAGTCTGAAGGCCTGGGAACCTAGGACAAGGCACGGTCCTAGGCTGGGTTACACCGTCTCTAAGGCCCTGGGAGTGGAGGGTCCAAAGCTGACTTGCTGTGTGACCTTGGGCAGGCAGGGCACCAAGGTTCTAGCTTCAAATCTGTGACAATATGACTCTACGATCTTCCTCTGTTACACACATCTAACCCCATCCCCAATTTCCTACATGCTCAGCAAAGTCACCTTTGTTCTTTTCCTTTGACACTCAAAGCCCCGCATTCCAAAATAGGCTTGGAAGCCCCGTCAGTGGGAAAACGGCTGCATGGGACATTACTGATAGGAGAATAGAAGAGAACACTAGCATTCCTGGAGCCAGAGGAGCTAGGTTTGAGTCCTGACCTGGGCCATCTCCTGAGGGAAGCCCTACTTCACAAAATGAGCATGTGTTTACTTACCTGCTGTTATCCCTCCAGCAGAATGGTAAGCTCCCTGAGGGCAGAAACTGCTTTTTATTTTTGTCTTTCTATGGCCAGCTCCTTGCACATAATAGATACTGAATAAATGTGTGATGAATTGAAATTGCTTCCCTTTCTGAACATCCTTTTCCACATTTATGGAGATGATAGTACAGCATTACCTGAATCCAGAGGACGGAGCACGCCACCCACCTCGTGCCAGAGATGATGGACTTAAGCTCTGGAATAAGACAAGCATTTTTGGAAGTAGCCAAAGCAGGAATTTGATTTGTTGGACTATGCAGGCATGTTGTAAAGAGTTTCTCTTGTTTGTTTGTTTTTCCAGTGGGGGTGGGGCAAGGGAAGAGGAGAGAAAACATTTTTTTAAAAGAAAATTAATAGATTAGAAAATCCTAATGCAATGCCTGAATGGCTGAAAAGTTATCGTGGTATTAATTTAAATGGAAATAGTTACTGAGCCAGGTCTAGTTGCCTATGTTTAATGTTCAATATTAAATTCTAATGAAATATTTAATGAAAAAAGAAAAAAATGTAAAAGCATTTTGTAACAATAAAGTACGACAGCTCACATTTAGAAAGCATATTACTTTTTCTTCACAACCAGTGAGTTGACAGGATAGGGATTAATTACCGTGCCCATTTGGAAAACGTACAAGCTCCAGAAGGGCTGGGATTGAAATATTCTGTCTTTGTTTCCCCAGTACTGTACTTTGTACACAGCAGGCACTTAATAAATGCTTGGTGACTTGAAGAAGAGAAAACTAAGGGCCTGCAAGATTAGCCCCTGATCCCCCATTTGTAAGGGCTAAGGGTGAAAGCTCCAGGATCACTGGATTTGGACTTGGAAGGGGCCTAGGGATCATCTGGTCCAGTCCTGTCAGTTTATAGTTGAGCAAAATTAGGTGGAGAGAGGCAAAGTATTTGCTCAGGGTCACACCTACAACAGAGCTGCACTTCACACTAAGGTCCTCAGTCTCCCAATCTGCTCTTTCGTCCTTGGCTCTTTCTCATTCCCTACCCCCCACTCTCCACCCTGCCTCCAATATTTTGTTCTGTTGCCATTACCTTTCATAAATGGCCAGGTTCCTCCATTATAAGGCTACCCACAATTGGAAAACATGAGGGCAACAGAGCTCCCTCCTAGCTGCCTCTGGCAATCTGCCCTGTGCAGAACTGCCTACCTTGCAAGCTTGGCCCTGAAACTGCCACTGTGATGTGATTTCAAAAGCCAATGCTGAATCTGGAAAAGAACTCGTGGACAGCAGCCAGTCTACCCCTTCTGGCTGGGCATGACTGCATCCCCTTTACGGCCCACCGAGTCTTTTGTTTTATCATTCATTCAAACACAACATTCCTATTACAATGGTCTGGGACTCCTCCATCGAATCAAGTGCCTGCTAAACCATTATGGGAAGCCTCCTGAACACTCAAAATAAGTTTGCTACAAGCACAGGTGTGACAACATCCCAGCTGATCATGCCACTTACTGGGATTTCCCAAGAAGGAGACTGAGAGGCAGTCTACCAAATTATAAGGAAGAGACAAAACGACATGAATAAAAAGTCTGAATTTTGCATGGAACTCCACATTAAAACTTATATACATTACTTAAGCAGAGATCTCCTAGATAAGAAATATAGAATCACAGAGTTGGGGAAATGCAGGCTGTCTTTCCCCTTAGTTACTACCAACTTTAATTCTATGGTATATGGCCCTTTTCCTCTGTGCAAGAATTTGATGTTGAGTGAATCTGCATGTTTCATTGGCTGTATGTCGTTTATGGTACCCAGCTCCTGCCAATATGTCTCACTTAATGTACTGTGAGATTAAAAGAGAACACACAATGTTTAGAAGGTACTAAAAGCTACCCGAGACCTCTTGCTAAGTCATTTTCAAAACAACTTTACTGATATAAAGATACTAAAAAATGATGAAAATTCAAAGGCAGCCCATGAAATTGACAACCAAATAACTTGGGCTTTGAGGTATTATTTGCCTTTCTTTCCCCAGTTAGCTACAAGGATGGCTTTTAAAAGAGGGAACCTTGATCTTCTCAGTTTTAGGCAAAGACCCATCTCCTAGGCCTAATTAAAATGTGCTTGTGGGTCCTTGTACGGAGTACATGCTCCTTTCCAGAAGGCCTGTCATCTGCACAACACTGAGCACAATGGATAAAGGTCTAAACATTCCTTTATTTGCAGGTATCAAGTTAAATCAATCTTAATTTGAAATGTCTAACATTCATGAAGTCATTAAGGAGGAGTTACAGGTATCAATCATTTTTCTGTCCAAAGCCACTATCTTGGGCTTTTCATTTCACTGAAGCAAAATCTAGAACATTTATTGAAAAAGACCAGAAATGCGTGCATCTCTTTGAATGATCGGCTATCCTGGGGTAAAGAACAGAGGGCCTTCAGTACCAGTCCAGGCTGCCAGAGCCTGTGTCCTAATTCCTGTTGTGTGACTATCCCAAGGACTTTATAGGGATATGGGCAGACAGAGGCAGAATCAGACTCAACGGTATATGCACAGTTTAGAAATGAAGATGTGATACCATTAGGGACACTACACACTTCTTTGATCTTGACTACATCTAAAAAACATTCCAAGAGAGTAGAAACAATTAAAGTGCTATTTTTGTTTTGTTTTGTCTGGGGGGGAGGGGTTGGATCTCTGAGGACAGCCCCCTGTTCCAAGGAAGAAGCAGGGTATTGAAAATCTCTACCATCTCCCTCCATATAAAGCTTATTTATGATTCCAAATTAGTTCCAGCCCATTAGCAAGAAGAAAAGCACAAAATTAAATTAATTGTTCTATCATTTTCTACTTGACACTGCAAAGATAATTCAGTATCTGGGAATTCAGTAGGGGTTTTCTTTGGAGCCAAATTCAAGCTCTGAACCTCTAGCTGGTCTCACAAAGTCACTGTCCAGCAGCACAGCCAGCCTCTTTCCTTGAGAAACCTGCTCTGGAGTTTTAGCTGACAGCTCAAATACAAACATGGCAGCTGTGCTGGCATACTGAGCATAATGAATGGTGTGATCACATCCCGGCCCCGTACACTAAAATGAATTTACAAGACGGCGGCTCTGAGGAAGCTGCAATTATCGCTATGGCCAAAGGTGTTTCAAAATGATATAACGTGTGAGGGACAAACACATATTTCTCATATTCTGCAACTGAAAGTATATCCCTGTGGTGTGACATTTCTTGATTTTTAGATTAAATGAATTGGAATGTAAGAGATAAATGTTTACATAACACCAAGCTATATTTACCACATTGTACAAAAGAAAAAAAAAAGAGACCACCACAGAATTATATAATTATGAATACTTCAGGAATACATAGCAAAGAACTGTAACTACAGACCAACATGACGGAAGGCAGCACCAAAATCATTTACCTTACTATACTCTGATATGGGGACACTAAAATCATAAATGAACTCCAAGGTCTCTCCCAGCTCTAACGGCATGTCTAGTTCTGATATTCTGTCAGAAGAATCATGATAGCATAGGCTTAAAGTCTGATGGGAGCTTAGGTCACTGTTCCCAAGTTTCTCAGTTTACAGATGAGGAAACTGAGTCTTAGACAGATGAAGTGAGTTGGTCAGGGTCATACAGCTAAGAAGCGTTTGAGGTAAGATTTGAACCCTGGTCTTCCTAATTCCAGGTCTCATACTCTGATGACTACGTTCCACTGCTGCTAAGGTTCATTCCAGTTCTAAAATGCTATGATGCTAGATCTTCTCTCACTCTAAACTCGGATGACCAATAGCCTATTCAGATTCACTTGCTGGAAGACCCTAAGTACAGCGCCATCAACGGCACCACAACAGAGCCCTCTGCTGCGATGACAGTGATGCTCAGGACCAACTAGCTCCCTCAATGCACCTTCACAAACCCAGAGAAAGCACATGCCTCTGAAGATTCAGATTCCTTTCAGGAGAAAACAAAGAAGCATTAACCTCTCTCCCCAAGGATACCTCCTGGGCACATCTTCCTTCCAGGGGCAAAGTCTGTCTCTCAGTCCGATGCCACACTGACAAAGCGGCTCAGCAAACGCTTGCCCCAGTAGCTGACCCTTCCTGGGCTCACCACATCCAGCTTTTCTGTTGGTCACTGTTCACCTGGATACTCTAATCTGCTCAAAGGAAGCGCTGTTTTAGAATGCTCTGAATGCGTCCCCATCAAAATCAGAGGGCACTTTTGTCCATCAGCTTCTTTTTTTTTTCCTCCTTTGGCAAGGCAATTGGGGTTAAGTGACTTGCCCATGGTCACACAGCTAGTAAGTGTCAAGTGTCTGGTTTGAGACTGGATTTGACCTCAGGACGTCCGGACTCCAGGGCCAGTACTCTACTTACTGCACCACCTAAGCTACCCCGTCCGTCAGCTTCTTTCCCTGTTCAAGATTATTACTGAAATTTCCCCTCCATTATTGTTCCCTGTCGTCAGCACAGTTCGATTACTTACGTTAACAAGCGACTCCGTGAACTTGATGTGCAGCCTGTAATTAGACAGTGCAATGACGGCCTCCTCGGCCCGGCCCACGAACTCTGTGCTCTCACCGTGAAGTTCCAGGAAAGGAACCTTCAAAATGGAAGAAGAAATCTTTCAAAGTTCAGAAGCAGCCAAACAAGTTCTTCAAAGCCGATCCCTATAGTGTAACCCATTTGCTATATTAAAGTGCACTTATTCAAACAGTAATAGTTGTAAAGTATATTTAATTGGTTTTATGTTTAAAGTTGAAGTCGAAACTTTTCCACAACGAATGCTCTGACATGTAGGTTCAAATATTATGACCCTGCACATGGTTGATTACAAGTCTGCAGAAGCTGGGTAAGACCCCATCTCTCTTAAATGAAGCAAATCACTTGAGCTACAGGACCTCTGAGATCCCTTCAAATTCTGAAATTCTTTGATGGGATGAAAAACAGAGAGAGCTGTTATACGTAGGTCCCTCTCACTGCACTCTTCAGTTCTTGGGATGTTACCATGTCACTCACACAGGGGAAATGCTACTAAGCCTTAGAAGCTTTAGAAAAAAACAGAGAGAGCAATACCTCAAGGAGAAGGATGGCAGAGCCATCACCATAACCCTGGAAGTTCTTGAAAGTGCTCTCTGCACGAGCGCCCTCAGAGGTAAGTGGTCTAAGTACGATTCCCCCCTTTTAATAGACGAGCTAATTAATATGCACTAAAACTCAGAGGTTAATGGTCACACAGCGAGTAGATGCCAAAGCCTTGACTGAACTGAGGCCCAGCATGCTTCCTACAACACTGGCCTGCCTTGAAATAAACATTCACCAAGTGCCATCAGGGTACGTATGGAGGAGGTGCAACAAGAGACACAGAGATGAATGAGACACAACCGCTGTCCTCAGGGAACGTCTAGTCTGGTATTACAGATCAGACAAGTGCGTGTCTTAAGAGAAGTCTTAAGGGCGGTGGCGATTCCCAGGAGGACGAGATCAGGGAAGGTTTCCTGCAGAAGGGAGCACCTGAAGGAGGCCACGAAGAACTTCCATGGAGAGTGAATGGGGGAGAGGGGGTTTAGGAGAGAGGAGGGGTTTGAAGGAAGAAGGCCATTGTGACCAAAAGCACAGAACATAACTGGCAATGGAAACTGTCCATTCTGGCTAAGTGTAGGACACGTGATGGGGAAGCAATGGGAAACAAGCCTTGGAAAGTAGGCTGGGACCAGATGATAGAAAGTTCTGATTGCTAGTCCAGAGTTTGGACTTCACATGACAGGCAATGGAAAGGAATGAAAGGTTTCTGAGTAGACAAGTAACATACTGGAGCTGGGATTATGTCATATGGGAAAACGGAAAGGGAGAGACCACAGAAGCAGGGGAGCTAATTAGGAGGTCACAGAGCCATGAACTAGGGGAGTTGGGGTTGAATGGAGAAGGTAGATATGAAGGAGTCCCATCCAAAAGCTTGGCGACCGTGTTAGCAACCACACAACTACGGATTGGTCAAAAAGGACAAAAGTGACCTAGTCATTACCTGAAGATTCTCATCCTCTCGAATCAATTGCTTCCTGGGAAAGATTTGATTGGCCTGGATGCATTCAAGGCTGTGCTGTGTCTCTTCATCCTGGAAAACCCCAAATTTCTGAATAATGTTGACGCTGCTCTTATTCACCCGTAACAGGGTTTGTTCGACAATGACTAATGGACAACCATAAAGAGATTCCAGGGACCCTTGAAAAGATCACTGGGCACTGCAGACCATCTGAGTTAAGAGACCTCCTAAAAGTGTCCCAATCCACCGGGGTCCCATCAGAGACAAGCAAGTGCTTCGACACCAAATGTAGAGCCAAAAAGAGGACATTAAGGATGGTTCAACCAAACCACATTTTAATGAAGTTGCTGGTATAGACTCTTGGGGAAATAAATAATTTATTTTCATTTGTATAAAGGAGGCATCTTTCACTTTAGGTCATCATTCTGGGCAGAAGGGCTTATCTGGGAGACATATAGTTTATTAGAAAACTAATCCAGAAATCAAGATACCAGCTGCTTAAAAAGTAATTTTCAAAAGCCAGACAAAGTCACACAAACACAAGAAATACAACTGTCAAGGTACTGTTAAACATTTAAGTTACATTATGTTTCGGCAGTTAAGTAAATCTCCTCAGAGAAAGGTTTTTAACCAAACAAAATAGACAGTCACATATAGTTTTGAAGATTAAACCTAACACCAACTTTGACCATAAAATTCCAATTATGTAATTCACCACTATAATCAGATCCCAAATATAAATTAAAGCCTATGTGACATTTATGTTAATGTCGAATTAGGATATGAACTGATCTGGTGAATATCTACTAGGGCTGCAATCAATCTAATATAAATGGTTTGGAGGACCCCAAACCTAGAAATGCAAACCACCAAATCATACATTTTCTTTCCTCCCCGTCCCTCCACACCGCCCCCGCCAAGAAACCAGAGCTGAGACCACCTGCATTCCTGTATATCCAGTCTCACTGATTTCTCCCATTGTTGACCAGAGAAGGGAAAAGAAGAGCCAGTGAGCTTCAGATGGAGAGAAAGCAGAAAGAGCAGTGCATCTGGCATCATAAGACTGGAACTCAAGTCACAACTCTGATTCTTTGTACAAATATAGCTACAGTCCCTTCCCTTCCCTGAGCCTCAGTTTCCCCATCTGAAAAGTGAGGATCACACGTGCACCAGTTATCTCACAGGTGTGTACTGTGACCCGAATCCCCTGTAAGCTGCCAATGGACTCACATGAACTTTGGACTCATCCGTTTGGTGGAATCTTGGCCACGTCCTCTCCTAAAAACAGCACACCTCAAAGCCTTCAGGTTTCAACTGACTTCATGAAGTACCAATGGCGACCTCTGGCCTCACCACATGACTCCCCAATCTTCTCTTCCTAGCCTGCATTTTCCTGATGACAGATGTCTTTGACTCCTGTTCCTTCTTGGAGACAATACCTAGTTCTAAGGTGCAGCCTGCTCCCACCCACTCTGTGCCTTTCCTCTGCTCTCTGTGGGAGAGTCATTTTCACTGCTTCAGAGATGGTCGGGTCCCAAGCCTTGGTGCCATTCAGCAGCACCAGGAGAATGCTGATCTTAGAAAGATGGCTCCTGGTTTTCAGGAGATGCGTGGCATCATCAAACACAAGTGCTAAATAAACTGATTATTGTGGTTGTTGCTGTATTTTAAAAAACCCATGTATAAAACTCAAGAACGGTGTGCTTTTCGGTTAGAACACTGTCTTTCTTTAAAAATAAAGGTGATTTTTTTTATTCTTTTCAAAACTCTCCAAAAGGAAATTCCTAAGGACATGGAGGAAAAATGCCGGTTGAACTCAGCTGAATTCTGAGCCTTTTCTTGGGACTCCTACTCACAGCTAGAGAAGAAGGGCTGTGAAATGACAGGAGAGGCAAGTGCTCACCCATACCTAGAGCAGGTCGTTAAAAGCGGGGAACTGCTCCCCTCAGTGCCTCACTGCCTGATCGCACCTCATAGCTAGAAGACACATTCAAGAAGATCTTGTTGGATCCTGTTTGGTCCCTGGAGGGGAAAAGGTTTGCCCATGGCATGCAATGGCTTGGCAGCAGCCCAGGGGCTCTCTGTACTACCCCAAGCTGCCTCCTGCCACCTTAGGAGAGCGGTTCTACATTGCTTCCTCCCAAGGGATGCCCTGACCTCACTGTCTCTGTGCACACGGCCAGAAATACCAACCTTTAAATGGCCAAGAGCAGAAATGAGGCAGGAGGCTAAAAATTAAAGAGGCCATTTACTCACACACCCTAAGTGGCACTGTCAGTGCCCCCGTGATGACCAAGCCCAGTGGCTGTAACCCAAGAAGTGACTGTGAGCGGGATGATATCCTAACATAAGAGGAAGGACAACGAGTGGAGGGAAAAGAACAGGGTGTCAGTGGCCACTGACAAGCCTGAGCAACTGTGTAGGAGCCTCCGCTTGCCTTCATTAGGAGAAGATGGGTTCCTCTGAGATCAGTTTTTATTTTTAATTTGATAAAGGTACTATAGACTGGGAGTTCCTTGAGGGCTGGGGCTGTCTTTGCCTTTTTTTGGATCCTCAGTGCTTAGCACAGTGCCGGGCACATAGTAGGTGCTCAATAAATGTTTCTTATTTACTGACTTATTGCTCCTTGAACACACAGAAACAGGATGAGGAAAGATGTAATGAGTAACGTGGGTGGACAAAGAGGGAAAGGATTAGCTGCTGGCCCACGTGATGACAGGGCCCTTGCAGGATCCTCACACTGGTGTGTGCCAAACGGGAAGGTTCAGAAGGAGAAAGCTCCAGGTCATAGAGACCTGGAAGAGAGAAGACAGCCAGTTTCTCCCAAGGTGCCAAGCCATGACATGTGGATGGGCAGGTGAGATCCCAGACCAGAGTTCTCCTACACTCACCAGCCAGTAGCTCTCCTGTTCTCCTTCTCCTCTCTGAGCTCAGGGAGTCTCCTGCTCGGCCCTGCCACCTTATGCATAGGGCAATCAACAGGTGTGCGATGACTTCAGCTTAGACGAGGAAGCAACAGCGGTCAGAGGCCCTGGAGCCTCTTTGGGAGAGTTTAGAGGGAAAGGGGCTGGCTCCCATCCCTACTCGTCTCCATTGCTGCTGTGGCACCTGGGGCAAGTGGGCTCTGCTCCCAGAGCCTCGACCTTCTCATGCCTAAAACGAAGGAGTTGGCTTCCAGATCCTCTCTAGAGCTCCTCTCTAGAGCTGCCAGGCACCTAGACAGTTGTGTGCTTTCACCATCTAGAACACAGAAGAGGCTTAATACATGCTCGGGCTGATTTTATGTTGGAAATACTCTTCCAAGCCAATTCCAGTTATCTCCATCTTCATCCTACCTTTAAGGAAATAACTTTTTCCCCCAAAGACCATGTAAAACATTAGGAAAAAAGTTACCTTGTATTAAAAATGCAATGAAAGTATTTTTGTCTAGCATGTTGGAAAACAAAGAAAATGGTGGAAGAGGTGCCGGGGGGTTAAAAAAAGTCAAACCCATCTCACTCAAAGAGCAAATTAAAGATGTTCCAGCTAACTTCCAGCATGTGGATCCCACTGACAACCTGTGAGGGAAGGACAGAGCAGGGATTTCCACATAAATCCCCACTACATCATACAAATCAGAGGAACAGCTGGCATCTATAGAAGCCTTTCCCTAAAACGCGTTTTGCACGATTGCACATGTACAACCTATGTCAAACTGTTTGCCATCTCAGAGAAGGGAGAGGGAGAGAATTTGGAATTCAAATTTTTAAAAAAGAATGTTAAAAATTGTTTTTACATGTAACTGGGAAAAAATAAAATAGGATTAAAAAAAAAAAAAGAATGCTTTCCATACCTTAACTCACTAGAATCTCTCAATGACCTTGTGAGATGCTGAGGGCATCAGTAAGCCCACTTCACATCTGAGGACACTAGAGTTGCTCTGGAAGTGGCGTGGAGGCCCAGGTCTTTCCCCATGCAAGCTCTGCACTCTTAACCACGACCCGTTGTGAGACCGCTGGTGCACACTGGACTTGCACCCCAAGACAAGTGGTCTCTACTGAGCCTTACACAGAGATGGCCACTTACTATCAACCTCATCATTGTACTGATATCAGAGAATCATAGCATGTGAGAGCTAAAAGGAAATCTTGTAGATCATTAAGAGGAAGGTAAATGATTTTGCCAAGGTCTCATAGCTAGTTAGTGATAGAGAGAGGAGGCCCAGGTAGAAGGTGACTTCTTGGTGCTTTATCATTGGTGGTCTCCTCCTCAGACCACCTCGATTACACAAAGTACGAGACAGCTGGTAAACTGAGGGAAGAGCATCAGGCTTGGGATTCAGAGGCCTGGATTCAAGTTTTCCAGCTCTGAAACTTAACAGGTATGTCATCATCGGCAAGTCCCTTAATTAACCTCTCAAAAACTCAGTCTTCTCATCTGTGAAATGAGAATAGCACTAATATCAAGGAGGGATTGTGAGCACTGCACGGAACAATAAAGCACTACAAAACCAGGAGGTTTAATTATGATCTGGGAAGTGTCAGGGGAGATGCTCCCACCTGCAAGTTTTGGACAGAATACCAGCAGCGCAGTAGAGCAGGGAGGTGGCTGCATGGGAATGAGGGATGTCTGGAGGGACTGAGCGCCGAGCTCTCTGATTCAGGCTAGCTGGGTGACTGGGAGCAAAGAGCTTCTGCCTTCTAGTTCACAGTATCTACCTAAGAATACCAGCTGCATTTTTATAGCACTTTAAGGGTTGCAAAGAGCTTTACAAATATGATCTCACTGGGTCCTTATAACCACCCTGGAAGAGAGGTGATGTGTTATCATTCCCGTTTTACAGCTGAGAAAACGGAGGCACTCCGAGTGAAGTCAGTTGCCTAATGACACTCAGGCAGCAAGTGTCTGAGGTCAGATTTGGGCCCGGGTCTTCCTGGTTCCAGGTCCCACGCTCTGTGCACTGTGGCAGACTCACTTCCAAAAACAAGTACTCAGGTGACCTCTCAGAGCCCTCTGCTCTTTACAAAATGCTTCACTCTGAGTGGCAAGTGGGCCAGGCTCACTAAGGCTGCGCTACGCTGTCCTCGCCTCTGCTGAGGAAAGAGCTAAACAACATGGCAGCCCTGCGGGGGAGGGGGGTTTCATGGAAAAAAGCCCAAAAACCAATCATGTAAAATTCAGACTGAGGGAAAATGAGCCACATGGCTCAATGTCACAGGAGTTCAAAGGAGTCCTCATGGGTTACCTCTCTAACCTCCAAGAGGGAGTCTCTCCCCTCCTGGGATCCCTCCCCCACTTCCCACAGGCTATACTCAAAGCTGTCGTATCAACTCATCGCATACACTGGAATAATCTTCTGCCAGGAGAAGTCATCAAATGCCTTCCTTCCTCCTCGCCTTCAGTACCTACTCTATTGCACTGCCAACTTAAATGAAGTAACAATCCAAAACACATCTGTCCTCATGTCCCTAATGAAGTTTGAAATGAATCTGGTTCCTCCAGTTCCCTCTCTGTGCACCAGAATGAAGCAGCTGGGCTCCAGCAACTATGTGGGAGCCCGGGAGCCAGAAGTGGGGCAATCAGAGAAGGCGATCCTTGGTAAATGCTCGGGCTCCAGCTTCCTGTTCCTAGGTGTTTCATGGAAGGGGATTTATACACTTCTCTGGTAAGGACTGGAGGCTTTCAGAGTTGGCAGAAGGGCAAAAGAGACAGAACGAATGAATGGAAAATCATTTATGAAATGCTATCTGTGTGCTGATGACTGTACTATGGACTGGCAATACAGCTATGAAGGCAAAAAAGTCCTTGCCCTGAAAGAGTCTGTATGCTGCCAGACAGGAGACAGAAAGAGGATGCCAGGGCCAAGGTTCCAGGGCTTTGGAGGAGGGGCAGGAGAGCTGGCTGGCCCATGGCTTCTGTCCTGGGGAGCGGGGGCAGAGGAGAAGGAGCAGAGCAGGAAGTGCCAGTCTCTGAGAGTACATGAGGGGAAGGGAGCAAAGCATGGCGGGATCTGTCTCTTAGGCAGGCCCCAATCAAGAGAGAACAGAATGCCCATGTGTGTGAAAGGGGAAGATAAGGGATTATGAAGACCAAAGAGAAATCCTTTCTCTATATCTATTGACCAAAAGAAAGCTCACCATTTCATATACAGCTTTACTTAGTCACACGGTGCTTTCCTTACCACAAAGCGTCAAGGTTCTCCCCTGGCTCTTTCAGGGACTAGTTTGATCACTATAATAATAAAAACAGCTAGTATTTACCTGACACTTGAGGGTTTCTAAGTGCTTTACAAACATTATCTCTTCTGACCCTCACAACAACCCTGGGAGGTAAGTGCTGGTTATTATCCCCATTGTGCAGATGAGGAAACTGAGGCTGAAAGAGGTTCAGTGCTGGTAAAGGAGCCTGGTAAATCTGGGTGACATCACCAGACTAGCGGCTTTGAGGCTTCTGGGCTTCCACTGGACAACACAGCCTCGGATCATAAAGCCAATGACTCTTTCTGGAGAAGGAAGTTTACTTCTACCTCTAAATTCTATACTCCTGAGAAGAGGCCAGAAGCAGATGAAGGTTAGGTTCAAGAAAATTAGGTTACTTTCTTGACAAGAAGGCTTAATTTTGAATCCAGAGTTCAGCTGAATTACAAAGCTATTTCTCAGTCCAACATTTTTGCTTGGTGACTCCTGCTTACCATGACAGGAAGCCCAGGTTAGGAGGAGGATCCTCGTCCTAGCTCAGCTGATGGCAAAGGTTCTTCTTCCTGTCACAGTGAAATCTAGAGAAAAACGGAAAAAAATGTCACTGGTTTTTTTCAGCTAATAACCTACTTTAAGTCTATGAATTTAGTGAGCTAACCAAAACCAACCGGGAAAGGGTTAGCTATATTTGGCTAATTCCCACTCTACTGACACACAAACCCAATAATTCACTTTTAAAAATCCCACTAGTCTTAACCTATTCCTGAGCAAACAGTGTAAGTGTCTTGGCTTACACTGAGGAGTTAACGTCGGTCTGATTATGCTTACATGAGATTCTCTCCTAGACAGAAACAATTGTTTTGTGGTTCATTTCATAAACCAAGTGATACCCGTAAAAATGAGAACAGGCAAAGCAAAAGCTCTGGACATAAACACGAATTAGTTTTATTCATACACAGAAAGATTCCCTGTGGCTCATAAAAGATGAGCTGACTTTGGAAAACATCATGCATTCCTCCTCTAAAGGTAGAAGATAACCGGATCTGGTGAACATTGTGTCCTTGATTTAAAAAGAGCGTCATAACCAATTTTCAAGCCGAAACATTCTTCTTACATATTAGCAACTATAAAGTATTACGAATCTCACCAAGTAGAGCCAACACTACGTGTAAGGAATTGTGGAAAAAATAGAGTATTTGAGGAGAATTTTCATAGTCAAGGAGAAGAGCCAGCTCCCAGGTGTTCATGCAGAGTCCACTGCAAGCTGGTCCTCAAGTCCGCTTAGGCACAGACAGATACACAGACGATACTGCTGAAGAGTATATGCTAAGTATACTTAGGTACAGCCAATAAATCTACAGAGAGAGAGAAAATGATCACTGCTAGCTTAGGGAGTCAGACCTCACAGAGCACAGCTGAGTAGGGCTCAGGCAGCGAGGAAGGAAGACAACACCTAGAGGCGTTCAAGGCCAGGGCAAAGCAAAGAGCCACGGATGGGTTATGGAAGATGAGGGGGACGAGGAATTCAATCTGCCTAGAATGCAGGATTGGTGCAGGATAATGGTGAGATATAAGATTGGAAAGGTAGACTAGGGCCAGAGAGTGCAAAGTTTGGAATACCAGGCTACAATGGTGGAATTCCCAGACATAATCTAGGAGGCAATGGGGAGTCACTAAAGACACTGAACATGGGTGTGGTTAAAGGAATCTTTTAAGAGGACTGTTCTGGTATAATGACTCCCCTACCCAATATACTCCGATGGACCAAACACAAAATCCTCTGACATTCAAAGCCTTCTGGAACCTGGCCCCTTCCTACCTTTCCACTCTTCTTACACCTTATTCTCCACCAGGTACTCTCTGTTTCAGTGGCACGGACCTCCAAGCTATCCCACAAACAGGACACTATATCTACTGGCTCTGGGAATTTTCACTGGCTCTCCTCCATGTCTGGTATACTCTCCTCCCTCCTTTCCAACCACTGATCTTCCTGGCTTCCTTTAAGAACCAATTAGAATTCTACCTTCTAGAGGAAGTCTTCCCCAGATCCTCTTAATTCCAGGGCCTTCCCTCTGTTACTGATTTCCTATTGGTCCTGCATATAGGTTGCTTTATATATATTTGTTTTCATGTTGTCTCCTCCATTAAATTTTAAGTTCCTTGAGGGCAAGGATTGTCTTTTGCCTCTTTTTGTATAACCAGTGCTTAGCTCAGTGCCTGGCACACAGAAGTGCTTGATAAATGTTTACTGACTGGGGCAGCTAGGTGGCACAGTGGATAGAGCACGGGGCCCTGGATTCACGAGGACCTGAGTTCAGATCTGGCCTCAAGACACATAACACTTACTAGCTGTGTGACCGGGGGCAAATCACTTAACCCCACTGCCTAGCAAAAAAAAAAAAAAAAAAATGTTTACTGACTGATTGGCAGAGACTGGGGAAGAGGAGACCAGCTAAGAAGTTACTGTGAAATTCTAAATATGAAATGACAGGGAGCAAGGGGATTTCCAGCAAATAATCTTAGTGACTGACTGAACATAGGGACAGAAAAAGAAGAGAATCAGAAAGGCCAAAACAGGAGATGGTGATGATGATGAGGATGAGGATGATGATGATGACGATGATGGAGGCAGGGAGATGTAATCTCATCTCTCTTTAGCAAAGTCAAAATTACAGTGAGTGGCTGATTTCTGTTCTTGGTGCTGTCTTTCCATTTAGACTGTTGAGTCAATGTGTATGCTGTTTTCATTCAGATTTCAGTGTTATTTTATGGGAGGAAGGAAGAAATGGAATTCTCAGACAGTTTTTTCATTTCATTAAAATCTGACTTTATTTCAGATTCTGATTCTCTCCCTCCCACTTCTTCCTCCACTGAGAAAGCAAGAAAAACAAAACCCATCACAAGAATGTATAAGCAAAACAAATTCTTGCACTGCCACATTAAAAAAAACATCTGCAAATCTGTATTCTAAGTCATCACTTCTTTTAAGAGGTGAGCAGCATGTTTCATTTGAGTCCTCTGGAATTGTGGTTGGCTATTACTATAAGGAGGCAGCCACGCGGCACAGTGGATAGAGCGCTGAGCCTGGAGTCAGGAAGACCTAAGTTCAAATCTAGCCTTAGTTAGATACTTACTAGCTTTGTGATCCTGGTCAAGTCACTTAATCTGTTTGCCTTAATTCACGGGAGAAGAAAATGGCAAACCAATGCAATATCTTTGCCAAGAAAAACCTCACGGACAGTATGGTCCACAGAGTCATGAAGGATCAGACATGACTGAACAATAACATTACCCTGATAAGAATTCCTAAGTCTTTCAAAGCTGTTTGTCTTAACAATATTTTTGCTATTGCACAAATCTCCTGGTTCTGCTCACTTTATTCTCTATCAGTTCATACAAATCTTCCCAGCCTTCTCTGAAACCATACCCTTCATTATTTCTTATAGTACAGCAGTGTTACATCACATTCATAGACCACAACTTGTTTAGCCACTGCCCAATTTATGAGCACCCCCTCAATTTTCAACTTGTTGCCACCACAAAAAGAACTTCTATCAATACACACACACACACGCACGCACATTTTTTTTTTCTATGTGGGTCTTTTTCCTCTTTTCCTGATCTCTTTGAGGTATAGGCCTGGTAGTGGTATCTTACCAAGTATTTATTATTAATCTGGGCAAAGTGCACATTGCTCTTAAGTGGAAGGCTGAGATTTGATGAGATTGAGTCAATGGGGCTTTTAGCAAAAAATAAAATCTCTTTTAAGATAACAATACAAGAGGCAGCTAGGTGGCGCAGTGGATAGAGCACTGGCCCTGAAGCCAGGAGGACCTGAGTTCAATTCTGGCCTCAGACCAAACACTTGACACGTACTAGCTGTGTGACCTTGGGCAAGTCACTTAACCCCAATTGCCTCAAAAAAAAAAAAAAGACAACAATACAGAATGAATTATTGAAAGCATCTCTCCAAGGTTCGTCCGTCCCCCGCCCCCGTTCCCTACAATCTCTCAGGTTTGCCTTCCTACCAACCCACACGGAGGCACAGGATAGCAGACGACAAGATTCCAGGGCAGCATTCTCTGGCCTAGCACAAAGAAGCACTCCCCTCCATTCTGCAGGCAAAGCCCTGACTACTCTACTCTAGTTACACAACCATGTGAGGGAAGTAATAAATGTATCATTACAGCCATTTTACAGATGAGAATGCCAAAACGGAAAAGTCAATGACTCTCCTATAATCACAGAAGTAATAAATGTCTGAAGCAAGATTCAAACTCCAGACTCAAGTTCAGATTCTTTCCACTATACCACACTGCTTCCCAAGTGGAAGAAGTATAAAAAAAAAAAGTTCACAATAAATATGTACAATATATACGAAACAGACTGAATTAGGTAATTCTGGATAATTGTTTTATATTCTGGTATGTGCAGAGCACTACCTGACCAGGATCCCCTGTGTCTATTCAATCAACTCCAATGGCTCCATATTGCCACCAGGATCCCATCCAAAACAGTCTGTTGCTACTATGGAAGTGTTCTGCATGACTACACATGTATAACCTGTATCGAGTTGCTTGCCTTCTCAATGAGGGTGGGTGGTGAGGCAAAAAGGGAGAGAATTTGAAACCCAAAGTTTTAAAAACAAATGTTAAAAATTGTTTTCACATGCAACTGGGAAATAAGATATACAAGCAATGTGGTATAGAAATTTATCCTGTCCTACAGGAAAATTGAAGGGGAAGAGGATAAGAGAAGAGGGGGACAGAAGGGAAGGCAGATTAGGAGAAAAGGGTATTCAGAATGCATGTCATCTTGGGGTGGGGGGAGGGACAAGATGGAGAGAAAATTTGGAACTCAAAATCTTGCGGAAGTGAATGCTGAAAACTAAAAATAAATTAATTAATAAAAAAATAAAAATAATAAAATGGTCTGTTGGATTAGCCTCCTCCTATTTTTGCAATCTTTTACATTTTATTCTCCCCCACATACTCTACAATCCAGGAACATTTGCCTTGTCGCTGGTCCTCAAACACATCACTTCAACTGCTGACTCCAAGCATTTTTTTTGGGCTGTCCCCCATGCCTAGAATTCTCTCCCTCTCCCTCTCCCTCTCCCTCTCCAAATCCTGGGCTTCCTTCATGTCTGTCCCAGCTAAAATCCCACCTTCTGCAAGAAGAAGCCTTTCCTGGTCCCCTTTCATGCTCATGCCTTCCCTTAGTTGATTAGCTCCAGTTTATCCTGCCTAGAGCTGTTTGTTAAGTTTGCTTACACAGTTTGTACAGAGTTGTCTCCCCCATTAAACTATAAGCTGCTTGAGAGCAGGGGCTGTCTTTTGCCTTTCTTTGTATCCCCAGCACTTAGTACAGTGCCTGGCCCACACTAGGTGCTTAATAAATATTGACTGACTGTGTTAGGTACCACAAGAAAAACCGTACTGAGTTCCAGCTTTCAGAAGTCTAGTGGGGTCCGCAATAAAGCAGACAAAATTCACACAGGCGTATTAAGATAAGCACATAAGATAAGGGAGAGTGTCTTAAAGAAAGTGACATCTGAGCCAGGCCTTGAAAGACAAAC